TTAAACTTAATTTTCTTTAATAAGAGTAGCAATACTTACAAAAAGGGACAGAATATTCACATGAGCAAATTAAGACCATTTGTCAATGGCTAAAAAAGAATCTTCATTTGAAAATACTAAAACCTAGTTAATCAAACAATGTCTCAATTATTCGTTTCAGTCAGAATACGCCAATCAATTAGAACTTCCTATATGCAATTTTAGGCACAGTTCTGACTATGACAGATTAACAGATTTGTATTCTATAATATATAATCTATTGCATAAATAAATAAAGATGAACAACATATATAGCTTAGTTAACCTCCAAATGAAGCATATGCATGTCCTATGTCACGAGTAAAATAATCCACAATCAAAGAAAAAAAAAAATTTCAATTTAGTAATTTAAGTAAGCCAATAAATAAATAATAAGTAAATATATGAAATATATTTTACGTACACGATTAAATATTGATTTTTCCGTCAACGATATTGATCTCTACTCAACTACTTACAGGATCAAAATCCCAATAGGAAGCCAATTTCAACTATACTTAAGGTATGTCTTTAGTGCAGTAGTTTCACTAGAAAAGAGCTCCACTGTCTTCAATCTTCAAGATCTGGGACATTAACAACCAAACAATCCCTTGGGCTCACATGAAGACAGAGAAAACTGGGTAGAAACAACAGCCAAACAATCCCTTGGAGTCTCAATTTTCTTCCTTCTTGGCATACTCTTGTGACGACAGTGGTCTTATCTATCCTGGGATCCTTTGGTGGCTGCAATTCCCTAGTTAAAATCCATTGGTTTCTTTTTAGGCTTTGGTGCCAATTGTAAATAGACGTGGGCTGAATTTTTCTTATGAGGGCCCCAAAAAATTAGAGGCCCTAGACCATGGCCTAGTTGGCATTAGGTTAGGGCCGGCCTCGTTTTACCCCTTCTTGTAGAACACTTATGATGGCTCGCTAAATGAAACATTTAATACTTTATTAAAGGGTCTTTAAATTAACATAAAATTGCAGTTGAGGTCCCCAAACCTTTCAAACAGTGACAGACTTTTCCCAAACCTTTCAATCATTGCAACTGTTATCCCAAACCTTTCAAATCGTAACAACAAAGTCTCAGTAGGCCACATTTCACTCAATTTTACTCAATTTTAAAATAGTAAATTAGTAATTAAATATTTTTCCATAAAATAATTAAAAACTGAAATTAAAAGAAAAAAAAAAGAAGAAGATGAAAAACATTCTTCTTCTCCCTCACTTCACTTCACCCCACCCCCACCTCCAATCTCTTAACCCAAAACTAGAAATCCGCCATACCATCGCTATCGACCGCCACCGTCATCTCCTTCTACTGTCGCTATTGCCGTCGCCACCACATAAGGAATGATTCGAAGCTTGTCCTCAACCACAATTTATTTTTTTCTTTTGCTTATGGATTTATATTACTATCTTCGCACCTTCCTCTTAATCTCTCTCGATCGAATGTAGGTTTTGGGTTTTGAACGCACTCTCTCTTTAGACAGCATCAATTGCTGCTGGAGCATCAAGGCCTTGGCCGTGCCGCTACTGATATGGTTTGCCTTAGCTTTAAAACCAACTTCGCTGATTGGTCTTCAAATTGGCTAAGCAATGTTGACGACAACATGTGGTCGTCTCAAGCCATGATGGAAGACACATCCTAGTTAAAACTTGGGTCGAAGATGGAACATCCAATAGCATTTAGTCGAGGAAATCATCATAAGACGACGTCAGATCAAAGTGGGATGACATATGAGGTTGACCATTTTGATGATTATCTATTTTTTGGAGTGATTGTTCTTGGTTTAACAAGGAATTGATGTTCATGGGTTCCAATTCTCTACCACCAACATAATCTACAAATGTCTTGATTTGTGGAGAGAGAGTTGGTGGTGATCGATTTTGGGTTTGGTAAGAAGAGGGCGTGGAAGATTTTAATTACTTGATTTGGTTATGTTCGTGGCGATGGTGATCGATGGTAGTGGTGGCGGTGCTCAATGGAGATGGCGATGGTAGTTGATGGCGGTAGGTGTGACGATGGCAAATTTCTAGTTTTGGGTTGAGGGGTTTTGGGTAGGATAAGGGTTGATGAAAAAGATAGTTTTTCATAGTTTTTCCTTTATTATTTTTATCTTTTGTTTTTGATCAAGTGTTTAATTATTTTATGGGAAAAATATTAAATTACTATTTTGTCTTATTAAAATTGAGTAAAATGTGGTCAAATTTAATTTTTTGGATCAATTAATGACAGGTTGGATGGAAGTCGTCCATTGGAGCCTCAGCTGCTACGATTTAAAAGATTTGAAGTAATGGTTGTAACTATTGAAATGTTAGAAAAAAGCTTGTCACTATTTGAAAGGTTTGGAGTCTCAACTGTAATTATTCCTAAAATTAATGTTATTTAGTCTCATTGGAATTGCAACGTCAATTTAGGTAACTCTAAATAATTTGCTAAATTAAAGGTGAAACGTAAATTGAGATTGCAATCCTAATGGAGTTAAATAATATTACTCAACAAAGTATTAGAAAGAATTTTTTTTTAATTTAAGAGCATGTTAGAAATATGTGATAAAACATAATTTTTACTCATATATTTCGTAGGATGAACAATTAATATTAATTTTATTATTTAAACAAACTCAAGGTGTATAATAAACGATAGTTTAATGTTTTTGGAATAAGCCTCTGGAAAAACATGGTCCGTGTGGCCCTGTTTGAGAATACAATCGTGCTACATATAAAATTTATTTGATATCATTTTTTACATTATATGAGTGGATAGTTTTAAAATGAAACACACTTTCTCGCCCGTTTCAATTTGAAAATCAATGAAGTGTCAATTATTATGTAAACAAAAGAATGTACAAACAGCTTATTTCTTGAGAAGAATAATTCTAGATTCAAACTCTTTCTCTTTCTAACTTCCAATAAATCTTGGCCAAATGTTATTTCTTAACCTATTCTGTAAATGTAGCATTGTCCAACGGTAAAAATAACAGTGATTTAATTATCTTAAAAGTTTTTCTTGTTGCATTATTGAATATTTTTTATGACATTAGAAGCTGAAATTCAAAATTTTATGATTTTTATTGGGTACCGTTATTTACATCTACAATTTTTATATATACATCCCACTTCATATACATCCCTATTAAAATTTTAAAAATTTTAAAAATTACTATTTTCATTAACGTCAAATTCCAATATTATCCTTATTAAATTTATTCAATTGAACATTATAGATGCATACAAATCTTATATATTCATCCACTATAAAATACTGTCCTAATACAATTTTGAAAATCACTGTATCTATTAAATCATTACTAATATTTAATCTGGTTCTTATTTTTTATTTTTTATATTGTCATATTGGTACTTTGATATTTAGTTATAAATGTTAGCAAATCTCTTTTCTTAAATTTATATGATTCTCTTAAGCGTGTACTGTGCAACCAAACAAAACCCTCCTCGAATCATATATTACTAAATTATTTGTGCTCATAATTTTGGCTGGTTGTGTTTTGATTGATAATTTTAATTTTATTTCTTTTTATAATATAAGAATATTTGAACAGGTATTGAAACATATTTTAAAATTTTTCTTATATTTTCATTCTTCAAATCAATTCTTAAAAAATGCATAAAAAATAGGATTCAAGTTTTCATATCAAGAATGAATTATAACTCAAATAATGTGTTTATTTTTTTATTTTCATTGAAGATGACATTTTATATATGATTATTAAAATTTTAGTTAAAAACATACTTTAAAAAAATATAAAAAAATTTTATGAAAAAGAAAGAAGATAAATTTAGAACAATATATTTTTATTTAACTTTATATATTTTTATTTAGATAAATTTACATGTAATAAAAAATATAATATAATTATCTTTTTAAAAGTGAGAGTATATATAAATATTGTGAATATAAACATCGATACCCCTTTTGTTATCTTATTTTTTCTCATAATTCGACAAACCACTTAAATTAATAGAAAATATTCTAAAATCACTACCAAACGGGAAAGAAAATTGAGGCTCAGATCTGTTTTCAAGTCAGGCAAGAGGGACGGTAACGCCATGGCTGCAAAATCACCGATTGCGTGTGAGAGAAAAGGGGGGAAACCCGACCCACATGCCATCCGGGTTGCCCCGCCAAGATACGAATCGTCTCCCTGCCCAATTCATCAGCTCAGAGGAATAAAGACGATTATCATCACAGCCTCTTAAAACACTTTTTAGCTTTGCCAAACAAGTACTTAGTAAAGGTTGAACCCCAAGTTCTTAGTAATATGAAAGGTCCGAGTTTCGATAACCAGCAGAAGAAACAGAATATTCCCCAGTCTCTCTCTTTCTTTCTGTAAGTAGTGTATATATAGTTGATACATACACATACAAGATCAAGGGTTGTTGGTTTTGGTTTAAAAGAGGAAATCATAAGGCAAATGGGAGAGGCAACCACCCTTCAGAAATTCCTAACCTCCCTCTGCCCTCATTCTTTCCATCTGAGCTCTTAACCCTAATTTCGTCGGTCAAGCTACCTATTTATATTGTACTCAATTTCCTCTTTTACCCTCGTTTCCCTGCCTTTTAACCGTTTTTGACTTCATGTGGCTTGAGAATTTCAAGGGCTCTATGGCAATTCTAGTATGATTATTGGTATTTGGTACAACTCTAGAACCAACAGGTACAAAGAAAGTAATTTTTCCCTGGCATATTTCAAATAGAAAACTAATGGAAAATTATTAGTATTTGAAAATTTAAGGAAAGCCAAGAGATATAGGCCTTGTTTGAGCCCTATTATTTTCTCGTTAAAATAAAAAAATGTGATCGTTATCCATCGCATTAAGTCATTATATTTGACTTTTTATTTTTTGTGTGGTACCTATAACGACAATATTTTTCATTCTCATTTCTACGAGCTCAAACGGGGGCTAAATTCGATGGGATAATATATAAATTACGAGAAAAAAAAAGCATTATATATATATATATAAGACATGCATAATGTTTGATTGTGTTTAAAAGTTTTAAAGATGAACAAAGTCATCTCGACTATGACATCAAGATTTAACAAACTGTAACACATCAGAAACCAAGTGCACAATCTTAACGGGAGCAGTAGTATCCAAAACAAGTTTCGGCACCTTCTCCACATCGTAATCCCAACACCTATCATAACTCTCCAGGAGTTTCTCCATCTCTTGCCATGTTTTTGGCTTGTGCCACCCCGAGCCATTATCGTTCTCTCCCCTCGCCTCAATCCGCCTTCGCCACTCCGCCTCATCCCCCGGCTTGCACTCCACAATAACAAGCCGAGCATCATTTTCCTTTGCCATGTCCAACAACCTATCGAGATGGGCCCGACGAGAGAGCGGAGAGTCGATGACAACGCTTAATCCCAAGTCGAGTTGAGTTGAGACCACGTTCCACATGACTTCATATGATAGGTCGTTGAGAAGTTTAGTTGCTTTGGAGGGTGTGGATGGCAAAAGGGTTTGCTCGAGTGTGTGTGTAGAGTCTCGAAAATGGTCTTTATCTATAAGAGGGCACTTGAGGGTCCTGGCTATGGCGTGAGCCAGAGTGCTTTTACCTGTCCCTGGATGCCCTTTCATGGCTATGATAATTGGCCTCTCTTTCACTAAATTAATCTCTTCCTCCTCCATAAGATGGATCGATGAACAGAAACTCTATACTGCCGGCTCTGTTGAAGATGTCAATCCGCCTTCGCCACTCCGCCTCATCCCCCGGCTTGCACTCCACAATAACAAGCCGAGCATCATTTTCCTTTGCCATGTCCAACAACCTATCGAGATGGGCCCGACGAGAGAGCGGAGAGTCGATGACAACGCTTAATCCCAAGTCGAGTTGAGTTGAGACCACGTTCCACATGACTTCATATGATAGGTCGTTGAGAAGTTTAGTTGCTTTGGAGGGTGTGGATGGCAAAAGGGTTTGCTCGAGTGTGTGTGTAGAGTCTCGAAAATGGTCTTTATCTATAAGAGGGCACTTGAGGGTCCTGGCTATGGCGTGAGCCAGAGTGCTTTTACCTGTCCCTGGATGCCCTTTCATGGCTATGATAATTGGCCTCTCTTTCACTAAATTAATCTCTTCCTCCTCCATAAGATGGATCGATGAACAGAAACTCTATACTGCCGGCTCTGTTGAAGATGTCAATGATTTGTAAGGCTTATCCATGACAATTGCTTAATTGATAATAATATATTCAAGTGATTGATTTATAATTTTATATACAATAGCTAGGTCACTTTCAAAGATCATATGTGCCGTTTTTATAGAAAACTTCAACACGCAACTCTCGATCGGACGTTTCATGAATTTTCTACCTCAACCAATATTTCTAATTTTCAAGAAAGTGGCTTGATTATAAATTTTTATGATGCTTAATTGTCCATTCCGTGAATTAATAAGTATATCTTCAACAATGCTCTTCATTTTAAAAAAGCATATTTTTAAATATACAAATAATCTTAGCCCTTGCTTGAGCCCCACTTTGAAGAAAAAAATGTATTTTGAAATAGTTTCTTTTGAATAATATATGATTAAAAAATAAAACAATAAAAAATCACGTGAAATCGTTTTAATGGAAGCTAAACCCCCCTCTCCTAGTCCCTCTGTTCAAAGATGAAAGATTCCCCCTCTCCTTCCTGACTTTTAGTAAGAGATGTTCCCGCATCCAACCAAGTCTTTGACCAGGGAACGGGAGAATTCCCACTACCGCTGCTGGCCGGCGGCCGCTCAACTGTTCGAGCGCAATGCTTGGTTCCGATTCGACAAATGCGTGTTTGAAAGTGAATTTTTTATAAAATGTAACTAAAACCAAGATTTAAAGAGCCAATTCAAAAGAATAATATTATTTATAGTGTTAGAACATCATTTTAAATTACCACACTTAATAAGTTCAATTAAATAAATCATATGACATTTCATTTAAATATGAGTTGAATTCTCATTTTCTTAAAATATATTCTTCAAAATAAATATGACTCAAACACACCCTATCATTATTTGAATTTTCTTAAGTAAATTTTCTCAATATGTGTAAAAAATGAAATGGGACTATCATTTTTTAACAACATATTGCTCAATTGGAAATGCTCTACAAATGTCATACTATTTCATTTCAATTGGATTAATCTGCTCTACCTAGTCCCTTTCTATTAGGCCTTTTACAAGCTTCACACAAGATGTGGGTTCCATGCGGGATCGACCTTATTAAAAAATCATCCCATAAATACCCCACCCCCCATGTATGTGAGTACCCGTAAAGGCCTTGTAATTTCCAAGCCTGTAGGGGTAGTACTTCCCATTTCTATTAGGATATGTTTGATTGCAAAAATGAAATTTTTGTGGAAAGAAAATGAATTTTAAAGAATTGAATTACCTAGAAATTGTTTTCTTAAAAATTGTAAATATTGTGTTTGATTGGTATAATTTTTCACATGAAAAATGTTGAAATGAAAATTCTTTTTTATTTTTGTTTGACTTTATTTTACATAAAAATTGTCAATTAAAGGGAAAGATTTTACTGATATTAGAAATGAAATTTGTTTCCTTCCCAAAAAAAAAATAATAATAATAATAAAAAATAAAAAATCCATCTATCTTTTAATGTTCGTTTGATTTTATTTTACATGAAAATTACCAATTAAAGAAACATTTTTTTACAATAATTTTTAGAATTTTTTTTCATTATAAAAAAAAAGGAAAAAAAAATGGTAGATCAACCTAAAAAACCAATTCCCACCATGGAAAAAATTTGCTATTAAACATAACAAAATGTGAAAGTTGAAAAACAAATTCCATTTTTCATGGAATTGGGTGCCTATCAAACAGGCCTTAGCGTTCTTAGTTTAAAGTGTTCCAAGCTCCAATGTGCAATTTAGAACTCCCAAGCCACCATTATCGTCGACATAAGAGCCCATCGGCTTAAAACAGATCAAGTTGCGTAGATAATGGCAAGCCGTTAATGGAACGTCTTAAAAATACTGGATATTCTAGTTAACAAAGAATGTGGACTACATCGTTCCATCATCAATAACAATTGTTTTTGTATATAATCAAGCAAAGGATTTATCTGTAGGAGAGCTAAAAAAAAGGTTGAACCCCAACCTTGAGAACCCCACCGTCCCGCCCCTAGAACATCGTGAGAGAGATAAATCGCGCGATGTGCCTCAACAGGTCAGGGAACAAGAGCTTACCTTTACATTGATACCCACAAAGAGTCCAATTTCATATCGCAGGAATCAAACTCTCACACTACGACTGCCAACAAGACTGAAACTACCTCACTCCTATTCTTTGCACTACTAAAATATGTCCCGAGAGACTATATGCAGCAATGCTCTTCATTTTAAAAAGTATATTTTTCAAAAACTAATAGTAAATTATTAATGGAATTAGTAAAGAATTTGAAAATTGATTTCAAGTAGGCAAATTATTGAGAAATATGCATGCATTTGGATGATTTCAAGTAGACAAATTAAGTAGAAAAAATAGATTGTAACTACACAAATTAAATATTGGTGCACTAACAAGAACATATTTTTAAACAATCATGATATATGTCCATGACAACTTACAAATTTGTTTTTCGACAAATGATTTGATGAAATTCAATTGTGTCAAAATTTCATCAACCAAAAAAAATTAAATAAATAAAAAAATACTTTCACCAAATATTTTCCAGGAATATTCTCATAATAATAATGTTATTCAACACCAATCATGTTAGAGCACCAATCACACTTGACAATTTCAATTAATGAATCATGTAATATTGCACTTAAGCAAACATATATTAATGTCATGCAATTACCATCTAAATTGGTGTACGCTTCTACTTGATAGAGAACACAAAGTAACAATGTTCATAATCAAGAACAATAATGCAAGTGAATTATGCCATGCATTAGACAAACGATACTAACATTTGAGATTAAACAAAAGAAATATATGGCTCTAATGAACAAAATTTCATATTAACCATCTAATGTGGTTGTACCAACAAATGTAACAAAATTGCATTCTCGAACATTCTCCAAAATACTCAATTGCATATCTATCCTCCATGTAAAAGCTAAAACAATTACAATCACAATTACAATTGTAAAAACAGGTAAAGGACAAAAAAATATAATGTGGAGCAAAGGATGAGGACACAGATATCAAATCATCAGGAAAGCAAATATTGATATAGGAAAAACAGAGTAAATGAATAGGGCTCATACGATGATTAGATAGCCCTAGCATGAGAGTTGGAACTAGACTTAGATACATATTGTCTAATTTCATCAACCTTTTGACACAAATTTTGTTAGAGAAAATTCCAAGAATAACTGCAATCCTCTTGAACATTTTAAAACTGGTATAGCTTTAATAGAATGGCATACTAGAAAATATATCCTCCAATCATGATCTACATTTACTGGGAAGGTTTACAAATCACTCCAAAATGAAGTTCAAATTTTCTCCTTTTCCTTCAAAATAAAAATCAAATTTGAGATTAACCGTCCCCAAAACCAATAAGTTTTATCAAGAAAATATATCCTCCACAAAATGCAAGTTCAATAAAAATTCCGTAATCCAAGAAAAGTATCATATCCATTTTGTATCATTTTGGCAGCATGGCCGAAATCCAGTTCATATAATGTCTTTTTCGGGAGCTAGAGGAAATGCATCTCAGGTACATCAATTAGCCCATGGTCTACATTTACTGGGGAAGGTTTACAAATCACTCCATAATGAAGTTCAAATTTTACCGTCTTCCTTCCAAATAAAAATCAAATTTGAGACTTAAACCGTCCCCCAAAACCAATAAATTTTATCTTTTATTCGACTCTTAAGCTGATCATGTGGTTATACACACACACACATGACAAGATATAATATAACTTGGTTTGATAAAAATTTTAGTTCACTCGAAGAAATCCCAGATCAGAGACAAATTCAAAAAACATAGTCCTTTACTCAGCAACAATGAAACTCAATCCACAGATTTCTTCAACAACGGTTGTTCAATTCTTGACCAGGCCTACAGGTAGCAGTTAACAAATCACAGTCAAAACCACCGAAATAGCAAGAAGAGAAATAAGATAGCTGCAGAAATAAAAAGAACTACACCGCTCGTTCCTCCAGTCATTGAAGACCAAGTTTTTGTCTAATTTCCAACAAGAAATTACATGCCATCACCTTGACAGAGAAAAACTAAGACAACTCAACAACTAAAAATGGTAGAAAGCAACAACATACAAATAAGAAGCAAATGTCATAATATAGAAATGCAAAAGGATGCAATCCTTTAGCAATCAACAAAATCAAAGCAGAAACCAGCATATCAATTGGAAACAGAATAATTCCAATCCCTGGAATCATATCAAGAGAAATACCAACAGCTTTATGGTGAATAAAGCTCAAGAACGAGTAAAAGTATTATAGAAAAGCCAATAATGACATTGGCAGATTGTCCACACCAGTCTCTAACTAGAAATTCGTGGTCCTCAATAAGGCCTTCTCTAGACTTCCTACGAAGAGCCAATCTTATGAAATATCATCAAAACAATAATAATTCATTTATCTACCAGCAAATATGTTGAGGGGTGTGCACTAATTTCTTTGTCCAGTGAACTCAATCCACCTTTCGTACAGTGACCGTCGTAAAGGGCTAAGAATTTGAAAATAAAATAAAATAGAATCCGAGGCTCAGATCTGCAAAATATCAGGCAAAAGACTCCGAACTCGCCATGGCTGCAAAATCCAGTTGCAAACCATGCCATCTGAATTTGCCCCGCCAAGATACGAGTCAGGGTTTCTTCATACCCGACCCAACTCAAGAAACGTATCATCACAGCCTACGAGGAAAGGAACGCGAAAAGAGTTTGTTGGGTAAACCGTGACATAGCATAAGTTCAGTGACCATTGAAACAATTAACTCTATCTTCACTAAATGCATAGCTTCATATGAATTGATGAAGATGGGAAGAAAGGGTTGGTTCTGCAAGTACGCGCAAAGTCGCAACCCGAAATAATTACAGGTAGTTTGCTGTAGAAGAGGGTTGTTGATTTTGTGAAATCATTGGCAATAGAGAGGGTAACAACCCTTTAAAAAATTCCCATTTCTCTAACTGCCTCATTCATTCGAGTTGGGATTTTTGCAAGGAAACCCTAATTTCTTGCTATAAGACCTGGATTTAGGGATGTCGGTCGGGCCGCCCAAGAAGGTCAA